TTTTTTTTAGTTACAGTCGAAGAGCCTAGCAAAATGCCTCTTCAGATAATTAAAGTAACCACACTTCAAAGTTAAACAGCAGCACACATCTGAAAAGATCTCAGCATTCCTATTCGTGAATATCCGCGCTTCTGTCGTGACAGTCTTAAAGTCAGCATAGGGCAATTTCAAAAAGCACCGTCAACAATGTGACTTCATTTGTAGTCCGTGTGGAGTGGTGCATTTTACCACAGCACTCGAACGCAGCAGCTGCTGTTTGGTTTCCATGGCAACGGTTGGCCACAGATAGGACGATGGTTTACAGTAAGTGAAAGAAATAGAGGCAAAAATACACCATTTGTTGTTTCAATGTTCATAACTGACAGTATAACCGATTTTGTGGCCTGTCCGTGAACTTTTGTTGTTTTAAAACCCGCTTTGAACCGGTTTGTGCCCGGTATGAACTCACGGGACGGTCATGGCGGTGAAATTCAAGTTAGCATGTTGTCAGAAAACGTATTTAGTATTTCCAGTGTTAGTCTGTGTTAGTAAAAACAGTTCAGTTCTCTGAATGATTCAAAATATATATTCATATGTCTGTCAGCAGTTCGAGTATTTGTATACCGTGATAGTTTGAAGACACTTAAAGGATACTAGAAATATATTTCAGAATGAAAGTGAGTTTTTTAATTATGTTCTGGGTTTCTCAAACATCACAGGTGTATGTTTACAGGGAACTAGAGCAGGTATCAAGATTGTAATACTGGGTTTAAAGTTGATTTGGTTGCAGCTTAAATGTGTTTTTTTTAACCCTGAAAGTTTCTGATGAATCTAAAAAAAAATTAGATTTTTTTTTTAAATGAAAAAGTCCCAAATTTCAGCCCACTCTTATGTACTCTAAGGGCCTGTCAATCATTAAATATCCATAACTCGAAGTTAAATCTTTGAATAAATTTATTATACAAAAATCAGTGGATTTTTCTTTCCAGATTTTATAGACCCAAACTCCTCTTTACTTTGCCTACATTGCTAAATTAAATCTAGTGTTATTTTATGGTGCTAAAAATAAGAAGTTTATTTATGTGGGACAGGATTGCTCTGAGTTTTCGTGTTTTAAAAAGTACTTTAAGTCACGTGACTTAACAGGCACGCTTTAACTCAACTTGAATTTATGAAAACAGAATTCTGTTTTTGTACATTTAAGCTTTGAACACTTTTTTGGCCATGAAAGTAAAGACATCCTAATTATTAAAAAAAACCTGACTATTTCAGGTCATCAGGATCCTGTTTTTAACCGACTTAAAACCATGTTTAACAACACACATGACTATTTAGTTTTAGTTTTCTAATTAGCATCTACTATAAATTAGTATTGATTGAATAATTTGTGATTAGAGATTGAGTGAAGCAGGTTAAACCAGCCTGCAGCATTGATTCCCCCCAACTCTATAGGTGTATTCATATTAATGTACAGAATTCACCTGCTTGCTGCTACTACTGCACATTCACCCAGTATATATATATAAAAA